CACGTGTCGGGGGCGGAAAAATGGCCGCGGACCACGTGTCGGGGGCGGAAAAATGGCCGTCGACCACATGTCGGGGCGGAAAATGGCCGCGGACTGTGTCACGGGAGGGAAAATGGCTGCGGATCCGGTTCGTTACTCGGGGGGGGTCGCAAAACGAGGGAAATTTTTGGGGCCGGAGCTGGTCGTAACACGAAAAATTCGTAAGCAGAGGCGTTCGTAACTCAAAGTACCACTATAAATGTAGCTTTAAGAAAAGCTAAAAGATTGATATAATCTACTTTCCACTTTCCCTTGGAGGCTAGCTGGATTGCGCTGGGAATCCCACAAATAGGATATGAAGGCTTTTCCTTTTTTGTCAATAGCAACAGAGATTGCATTTTTGTAACCAACTCTATTCATTTCAGTTGACTGATTTTTAATTATTATAAGGCCTAGAAAATGTGGTGGCATTATTGCAGAGATATTCCACTAAATGAAAGAACATGGTAACATTTTTTTTTTCAAAATGGTGGCTGACAAACATGGAAAACTCTAGGTCTCAGGATCAAAGGGAAGATGGGTGGTCAGTAAAAGGGGGAGCTTTGAACATTATGACCCTTTTTCCAAACCTGGCATCTGTCCATGTTAGCTGAGCCATATAGGGTCCCACTAATCTTAAAAGAACAAAGAAGCAGTCGGATGCTGGTGACTAGCCATTGAAGAGTGAACATGTGAGAGCAAATAGACGAAGGAGAAAGTGGATGAGAAAATGATCGGAGTATTGTTTTTTATTAGAGTTTCAGTATTGCTGAATGAGAGTCTGGAACCGGTATGACAAGATTTAGAGAAAATGAAGGCACGGTGGAATTGGATTAAAGGGGATTGGAACTGAAACAGAAGAAGCGAGAGGATTTTAACGGTGGCAGTTGATTATAAAATGAAAGAGAAAGTGAGAAGATGAGAAGAAAGATAAGAACTGGATTCACTAATATCCATGCCAGTGTGGCTCAGAAATTAACCAGTGGCTAACAAAAGTAGCTGCGCAGTCTGGATGGAGAAAAAGTGGCTGGGGGAAGAATAGGTGCAGAATCTTTTCATTAACAACATCTGGCCTAGGTGCTAGATGAGGGCTGCAGGAAGAGTGAGTGCTGAGCTAGTTGAAAGGCCAAGCTACTGAGTACCTGTAATAGATGAGAGCAGTTGGTGATGCCAAGAGATGCAGATCATAGCTATGGGTCCTCCCTTGGGCAGCTTCAGATGCCAGGAACATCAATCAGATTATCTTTGGGGGCACAGTCACTAAGGAAGTGCCACGTAGAGCTGTCTGATTTTGTGTCAGATTCAAAGAGGAGGCCCCTCTGGAGTGAGAAGGGGAAATTCCTACTTTCATCAGTTCAGTAAGAGGGAGTTGGGGTGGGAAGGGATCAATAGAAATGTTTTAAGTTGAGGATAGAAGAGATTGATGTGAAAGTGAAAAAATGTAGTGTGAATATGTAGTTTTAATGTAGGATGGGTAAATCTGAGTAGCAGGGACCTCTCTTGTCTGGATAAATACAAAATAAGTTTTGGATGAAAAAGTGAGAGGGAAGCATACCTAGAGGATTGGTATTGGTTGTAGTAACAGCTCTGTTGGCTGGAAATAGGAAGTGGGAAATTCAGAAGATCAAGTGGAGTCATGAGAGACAAGCATATCCTGACAGTAACAGGAAAGAGAAAATATGACTGGAGACTCTGGCTTGACCATTCCAGGAGAAGAAGATCTGCACATTGTAGTTAATCTCCACTTCCAAACCAGCAATCTAGTTCTGGAGACCATTTTACCAGATAACTGGAGCTTTAGGTTGCTCCTAGTAATACTAGATTTATGTGTGATAAGACTACACAGATAACAAGCAGACATGGTGGAATGAGAGTGGCAGTGTTGCCCCTTGGAGATCTGCCCTCTTGAGTCTTGTCTTGCATCATGTATGATACTAATGTGTGGGGAGCAATGATCTTCAAAGAAAGTTTACTGGCAGCCAAGGACTCTTCCCATGATGTGATGGGTCTCAGTGCTTATATCTCAACGTTGAATTGTAAAGGCAAGCTGGGTATTCTGCTTGTGTGCTGCACATTTTGCTGCATAGTGGAAGCTCTTCCTAAGTATCTTTACCTCATCTCTGGGCTGGTGTTGGTGTCTCCCTTGTTTGAAGTGCTGGAAAACTTCAATTTTGAGGTCTTGGGGTGAGGTTCAAGTATTCATGGCCTACATGACACTAAGGGTGGCAAAGTTTCTTCTCTGCCCTTATTGCATTGGCATAAAATGCCACCCCCCCAATTCTTCCCTTCTAGGGGTGGGAATTGTCAAGATCTGTCAACAGGCTGCTGTGGGAGTTTAGGACATTTCACTGATAATATTGCTCCAGTTTCCTCAAATCTTGAACTCTACATGGGCATAATCTCTGAAGATAACCGTGTTTTTTTTCCCCTGCTGCTGTTTCACATTTATGTGAAATCTGGGAGAAGTCATCTGTTGCATCAGGGTACAGTATCATCAATATGTTAATACCTAGTTATATATCTCCAACCTGAGCCAAACAATAATGCAGTGGAAATCCTGACCTGGTGCTTGGGAGGCTGTAGGGATTTGGTTTGTGAGTGTGTGTGGAGGGGTGGACTTTGATCTTAGCTGAATCCCATCAAGGCTTGATTACTGGTTGTCCAGACCTTTAAAGCCCTACATGGCTTGGGACCTGGTCTCTTAAGGAGCAGTTTCTTCAAGTGGATCCTACCCATCCAGTACACATGTCTCAGTTTGGGATGCAGAGAGTTCCTTTCACATATGAGATCGAAGGGAAAACAAGCACATCTTGTTTCTCAGCATTAGCACCTACCTTACTGTAGCAGCCTTCCATCAGAAATATGGGTAGCACCATCACTTCTGACCTCTAGAAAAATGTTAAAAACTGAGCTTTTCAGAAGAACATTTAATTAAGACACGTCACTGGTATCATATTATTAATTTTGATTTTAGTAATTTATGAAATACTTTGATAATTGTAGATTCTTATTTTTGTATTACATAAATAATTTGGTTTTTATTGTACACCATCATGAATCAATGTGGAATGTACCACTATACAAATCCAACTGATTATATAAGATTCTTAGATTCATGGTATTTCTGGTCATAGAGACTGAAATATGGAAAAAATAAGGCAAAAGAGTTTTGGTAAGAAGTATAGTTTGTTTTCTTTTGCTAATTTGTATACATTTATTCAAATTTAGAAATAAT